CGATCCGAGGTGAACCGTGACCATTCCGGAACGCACACAACCGATTGGAAAAAAGGAGCTTTATTGGGGGTGGATCCCTGCAGAAAACTAGCAGGGTACCACTGAGCGTCCCATCAAAACTGCCTTTTACCCACCTGCTTCCCCTTAGAGGACCCAGGCTGGGGGGCAGGCCAGTATTGTCTTTGCGGGCCTTTCTTATAGTCCCGTTGCTTCTTATGGGCGGCCTCGTATTTTGGGAGGGCGGCCTGGGCGAGAGCCTGCTGTGGCTTGAACTTGGGTTTTGCCAGAGCAGGGACATAGACTCCCGCGCGACCCTCCAGACCCTGGGCCTCGTTCATGCAACCTTGTGTCCGTTTCCTCTGCGAACAGCCCCTTCCCAGTCAAAAGGAGATCCTGCATCCATGACTGCGCTTCGCTGGATAGCCCAGAGAGCAGAAGCCAGGACGCCCATCTCATGGACACCGCTGAGGCCATGGACCGTGCGGCCGTGTCCGCTGCATCCGAAGCGGCCTGCAGAGACGCCCTTGTGGCAGCTGCCCCTTCCTCCATGAGCACCTTAAACTCCTTTCTATTGCACTCCCGGAGGGAGTCCTCGAACTTGGGGAGGGATCCCCAGAGATTAAAGTCCTAGCGACCCAGGAGAGCCTGATGGTTTGCTACTCTCAGCTGGAAGCTTGACGACGAATAAATATTTCTCCCAAAAGCATCCAGCCTCCAAGAGTCTTTGTTCTTTGGGGTCGGTGCTGGCTGTCCGTCACTCCCTGTGGTTGACCGACTCGACCACCAAGGTATGGGTGGGTATACAAATACTCGTGCCCTTTAGTGGGTACAAAGTACTTGCGCTCCGCCTTCTTAGAGATGGGCGCCAACAAGGCTGGTGTTTGCCACAGGGCACTTGAAATTCTCGCCATCTCTTCGTGGAGCGGCAAGGCCACCATGGCTGGTGCCAAGGGGGACAGAACATTGAACAGAGTGTCCAAGGGCTCCTCCATTTCCTCTGCCTGGAGATGGAGGCTCGCTGCCACCCTTTTTAGTAATTCTTGATGGGCCCGGTAGTCCTTCTGCGGGATGGAGGGGGGCAGGGCCACAATGAGCTCCTCCAGACAGGGCGAGGAGGCCGGTGCGGTGCTTTGGGTGTCGGCTGGCACCAGAGGATCCACCACCTGGTCAGACTCCAGGCACGGCACCGAGGAAGTGGGTCCCATCGACTCTTTCCTTGGCGGTTTAGGGATGGAGGCCGATAGAGCTTCTGATACCCCAGCCACCGAGAGTGCCCCCACTGTGGGCTGCGCCGGAGGCCAGGGTGCCCACTGGTACCACTGGGCTGGCCACGACGCATGGTGCCACTGCACTTGCTGAGGCACCGGCAGGGCCGGCCGATCAGGCTGGCTAGCCTGGCCTGTAGACGGGTGACTGTGAGCGGAGGTAGGGCTGGTGTACGACACGCTGCTGCCTCCGGACCAGGAGTGGCAGCGGTGCCGGGATCTATGTCGACCACGGGACCGTGACCTCGAGGTGGGAGAACGGCACTGACGGTAGTAGCTGCTCCGCGAGCGGTCTTGACAGGTGGACCCGCGATGGCGAGGAGCCGGCGATCGACGCCCGGAGCTACGGTGCCTTGGCGGAGACTTTGAGAGGGATTCCGAGCCGGAACGGCGTCGATGGTCATGCCGCGACCGACTGCAGTACTGCCTTCGAGACGAGGACCGTTGGCGACGTCCGCCGCAGTCCCGTCTGTGCTCGCTCCGTGAAGACGAGTGGTGCCGGGAGTCCTGATTGGATGGCACCTATCCAGACAGTCTAGCCGGCGTCGAGGGCGATCCACATGGACTGAGCCCTGAACCGTCACTGGGCGGTGAGTGGTGTTGGGAACGTTCCCGAGACCGGGCCGGCAGCGACCCCAGCGGCACCTTGCCTCTGGAGCATGGGGCCGACATCGGTGGTGCTCCCAGCACCGGCATGGACACGACGTCCTTAGCCGCCTGGAGGGCTTCAGGCGTAGATGGCATCCGGACATCCAGAGAGGCCTGCTCCCAAGGAGCCGGGCTACTCCACTCCGCATGAGTCGGAGGCCTAGGGCCCGATGGGGACCGAGGACTACCCGACATGGGCCTTGCCTCTGTCCCAGACTTCACTCGGTGCCGTTGCGAAGAGGGAGTCTTTCTGGTCCTGTTGGCATGCCCCGTGGAAGGGGAGCGGTAGCGACTAGTCGAAGATACCGGAGGGTCTCCGTGTACTAACGCTGCGATGCCGGATACCGGATCAGAGCAGCGTGCCGCGGTCGGGGCCAGCACCGACTCCATCAGGATAGCCCAGAGTCTAATGTCCCTTTCTTTTTTGGTCCAGGGCTTGAATGACTTGCAGATCTTGCACCTTTCGCTGATCTGGGTTTCTCCCAAGCAGCGCAGACAGTCTGTGTTGGGTCACTCCTTGGCATAGAATGCCTACAAGAGCCGCACGACTTAAATCCCGGGGCATGCCCTGGCCCAGGCTCACTAACTAACTAAACTTCACTGAAAACTAAACTGACTACAGGAACTGCTGAACGAACAGTTCTGGGGACAAGCTGCAGCAAGGCTGGAGCTAAGCAGTTCCAACGCACCTTCACTGGCGGCAAGAAGGAACTGAGGGTGGGGAGAGGCGCACCTCCAGGGGTCGCTGGGGGTGCTCCCCCCCACGGGTACTGCTAGGGGAAAAACTTCTGGCACTGGTGCATGTGGCGAGCACGCACACCTACTGTGGAATACACATGAGCAAATCACTTGAAGAAGAAACCACCATTCCTGCCACTATGAAACTCAGCAGTTTCTTCTTCCCCTATAATTAATTTGGAGATATTCCAGTTCAATCCAGTTTTTAAGATGGTAATTGCCTGGTGCTTTTAAAGAGGCCATATGTCACAAACATCTGCTTTATCTGCCAGGCTCTGTAGTCCTTTCTTTAAGGGCTTCTTTACATGGAAAAGATATCCTGGCACTACTTTACTAGAATAGTTATACCAGTATAACTCAGTGTGTGGACACTCTTATTCTGCCATTTCAAAGGCTGTGGCAGGGAGAGAAAAGGAAGAAATGGGGATTTGATATTTACCAGTAATTGGATTTAGAAAACAAAACAAAAACAAAACTCACAATAACCTCAGACTGGACTACGTATACACAACTAAAATCCAAGTATTTTTCTCGTTGGTTTGCCTGCTTATTCTACAAACCAAGAATGGGCAGACATTGGGTTTAGCTGCTAACAAATTAGCATTGGTACTGAGGGAAGTAGAGTGAAGTGGATGATTCTGCCATACAATCAGAGATGAGATCCAAGACCATCTACAGCAGATTTCAACTTGACCTTGAGCGACGGCCTGACTTTTGGCCTAGAACCAGTGCCTATGCATTACCAAGCAGGGTATGAGCTAAATACTGCAAACTTGACCTCTTGTTCCATGAGCATGCAAGGCCTAGAGTCCTGCAGAGGAGACACAGCTCTGCAGCAGGAGGGGTAGAAGCAGAGGCACCACAATGTCGCTCAACAGCGATCCTGCTGGAACAACAGCTGTATTAACGGAGCTCATTTCAGCTCTCCCAGTGGGGAGACAGTTCAGGTAACAAGGTTTGCATTCAAGGGCTGGGAAAACAAACCTAGCCTTTATGAAAGTATAGGCTTGACCCAGTTTCTTAGGCAACAATTCCAAATATGATAACACCCCTACAATGCCTGGAGTGATCCCAACTTCTCATGGGAGCTCTTCCTTAGCAGCAGCACCAGACAGCAGCTGAGAGATGGTGAGCCATGAGTTAAGAATAAAGAGTTCTGAATGGTAATTAGCAGTTTTGCAAACCTGCTACGCGGCCGCTAATAAAGGGGATGGTACAATGTGTGTGGAGTTGAGGGGATGATCAGATGAGATTACTTTCTTTTTGAAGTGTATAAATCGTGAGAGACTTGTCCACAATAAAGATCACAGGCCTGACAAAGTGGAGAGCAATTAAAAATATATGAACCACCCTCAGCAGCAGCATAGGAAACCACTAAACCACAAAAAAGGGTAAATTTAAGAGCATCTTGAGAAAAAACAGCCTCTGCAAGGAAATCAGAAGCAGCGTAGATTCCATAGTTTATAGATGTTCTCTCCAAGAAAGGACGCCTGCTCCCCTTGATGGGTTGATTTTTGGCATCAAGCTTTGTATTGATCCGAATGTTTCAGCCAGCATATTTAAATGTATTTAAGTAGCCAGCGACAGCATGGCCTCTTCCTAAATGCAGATGAGAAATGTATCCTGCATTTTTATTTTAGGATATCAGGGATTAATCCTGGAAGTGTGTTGGAACACTGGAGACAGAGTTGTTGCACAGCAGCACGTTTTAAGCTAGGAATGAAGTGGGAGAAGCATTATTGTTAAGAAGTTAATTCTAGAAACTAATTATCCACCAACAGACAGGGGTGGGCAAAGGTATGTCTCTTGTTTTGCAGTTGATGGGATGGGGTTAATAACTAGCTTAGCTGTAATAATCACTTTATTTGGGTAACAATGGTTTTGGCTCTCCTATTATCTAGGAAGTGTCAGCTAATGCATCCTCCCAATAGATCAGTGGCTTGCAGTTAAAATTAGGTAGATTTTACACACAGAACAGCAAGGAAACATTCTTAAGCTATACTTACCATGTAAATACAACACAGAACAGCCAGAACCATGTTTCCAGCACCCCAGGGTAAACGGTTTAGTTCCACCGGTAGTTCAGAAAAGTGACACAGCATGCAGTTTGCTTACCCAGTCACCAAAATTCTGCATGTGACTTCAGGCAACAACCTGAATAGTAACAGGGCTGATTCTTCATTACGCTGCCCTTTGTCTAGGAGGCATTGACACCAGTGCAAGGCAAGTGGCAATGACTATACAAGCTGCTGGCAGTCAAGAATTAGTCCCCGTGTCTTTAAAAAGGAGCAAATCCTGAACTCAAGACTGGTATCCATTCACCACCACCACACAAAAAAGTGTTCTTACCTGATATGCCCTGATAAGAGATTGCACTGCAAGATGGTCGTCCACTAGTTTATCTACATTCGGCTGTGCTTGAACCAGGGACTGTGCTTGCGTCAGTGCAGACAGGCTGGTGCTCAGTGGAGGGGGGCTTTGGTAAGCAGTACCTGGAGCAGCTCCAGCATTGGCATTGCGAAAGAATATGTCCCATGACTAAGGAGACAAAAGGAAAGAGCAGAGTGATAGATCCATTGCCCAAAAATTCAAAAGCATTAAACTCCATCCCAGACCTTGTCTACACTAGCATTAGGACTGATCTACATTCAAAAGTTAGGTCGACCCAGCTACATCGCTCAGGGGTATGAAAAATCAACACACCCCTTAATGATTAGTTAAGCCAACCTAACCTCTGGTGTAGACAGGGCTAGGTTTCTGGAAAAATTCTTCTATCAACTTAGCTACTTCCTCTTGGGGGGTCAGAGGAGAGGGAAGGGGTGCCCTAACTACACCAACAGGAGAACCCCCTCCTGCCGGCATGGGTAGTGTCTACACTAAAGAGCTATAGCAGCACAGCTGCAGCTGTGCCACTGTAGTGTTTCAAGTGTAGACAGGCTCCCACTAGCCTAAAATCTCCCATTTATTCACAGTTGCCATTTCACACAGCTAAACACACTGACAGCAGCCGGAGAGTCAGATTTGACGGCCAGAAGGCATCATTGTGGTACTGTAGTCTGATCCCCTGCATAAAACAGGCCATACGACTGTCCTGAATTAATTCCTGCTGCAAGTCCAATTGCTGTGCATGAACTAGAGCATATCTTTTAGAAAGACATCCAAACTTGATTTACAAATTTTCCATTGAAGCAGAATCCACCACAATTGTTGGCAAGTTGTTCCAACGAGCAATTACCCTGATTGTTAAAAATGTGTGCCTTATTTCCAGTTAGAATTTGTCTAGCTTCAACTTTCAGCCATTGGATTCTGTTATACTTTTTCCCTGCCACATTGAAGAGCCCTCGTGACATTATACTCCATATTCTTTATGAAAATATGCTTGTGATAGGAATATGACATAACTAAGATGTACTTTAAGCAAGATGGGCCTTGTAAGGTATCATTAAGGTGCCACAGGACCCTCTGTTGCTTTTTATTGGATAGGTGATGATTTACTGAATAGGATTATCCTATTTGTATGCACGTATCATGTCTGTCTCTGAAATTAGAAATATTGACTACGTATCTATATTTCAACTGTGTTACTTTGAGTGACGCCCCCTGCTAACACTTCAGGTACAACAATGAAAATGCCCGTGATGGCCCATCAGCAAGAGACAATGGACTGTAAAAGAGCTTAGTCTTCCTGTGAATGGGTGGGTCAGCCTGTGAAGAATGGCTACAGGGGCGCTACAGAGACACGTGTCCATGTTACCTGACACTGGAACCCATCTCGAATTCTGTACTTTTCCACGAGAAGCTGGGGGACAGGGGTCACACCAGGAAACAAAAGACGTGGGGAGCAAGGTAATCCAGGTTGTGAGTTCTACCCTGCTACCCCACCCAAGATGAATGCAGGAAACAACTAAGATTGAACTGGGGGAAGAACTGGACCCAGGCTGGAAGGGCGTCTGGCCTGTGAAGATTATTAGAATCAGAACTTACATGTAACCAGTTTCTTTAGTGTATTAAGCTTAGTTTGCATGCTCTGGTTTATTTTCTTCATAATCTGCCTTGTTCTGTCTGCTACCTCCTTAACTACTTAAAATATACCTGTTATAGTTAATACATTTATTTCTAGTTTACAATATAACCCAATTTATGTGATTTCTAACTGAGGCGCGGGGGGTGGGGGGGGGGAGAGAAGTTGTGCATACCCTCCTCCCCATTGAGAGAAGAGGCGAATTTCATATTATTTTGAGTTTGTACTCCAAGGGGTGGTGGATATCTGGGTTCTGTGGCAAGCCCCTTAAGCTGAGCCTTCTCAGAGCGGATCTCTGTCTCTCTGTGCAGGTGGGTGTGGCCCTGCCTGTGCGCTGGGCTGGAAAAGGCTGGGGAGCCCAGCCCAGCAAGACCAGGTAAAAAGGGGGCCCAGGCTGGGAGAATAGTCAGCTCAGCACACCAGGTGACATCCCAGGGCGTCCAAACTGTCACACCTCTATTATCCAATTTCTGTTCCCCATGCAAGTGCTTACAGACCGCTTAAGTCACCTCTTAACCTTCTCTTTGTTAAGCTAAAGAGATTGAGTTCTTTGACTCTTTCAGTCCAAGGCAGGTTTTCCAATCCTTTAATAATTCTCATGGCTCTTCTCCAAACCCTCTCCAATTGATCAACATCCCTGAATTTTGACACCAGAACTGGACACAGTATTCCAGTGGCAGTCACACCAGAGCCAAACCCAGAGATAACAGAACCTCTTTACTCTAGAGACTAGTCTACACTCTTGTTACCTTCGTGGCAGCCAACAGTGATGAATTTTAAGGCGTTGGGGGAGGAAGACACACAGCTGCCTCATGACCATGCCCCACCCTAGAGGCCAAGCACACAATTTAAGATTTTAAACATTAACAATGCAGACTTGCTAACATTTAGCAATTAATGAATTCATAGATTTTTTTTTTCCCCAACACAGCTCCACATGAATGGCACACATTGCATGACTGGGACAAATCCCCCCTCCACAACATATTTAAGGTAATTGTGTGTACAATTCACAGAAAGTGGAGAGGGCAAGAGATGGCATTGACAAGGTCCCTGCCCCAAGAGTACTTAAGATCTGTGACAAAATGAGAGACCATACAACACACCAGATAGAATTAGCATGAGAAAGGAGAAGGGTTACAGTAATAAGGTTACACGATTACTATACTCTGGTATGAGCTTATAAACTATATGCACATATATATATTTTCAATAGGACAATTCACTTGTGAGTAACATGGAAGTAGCAGGCATATAGAAGGAATGAATGGTAGAGCCAAAGCACTCAGGAGGATATTTCCATGCACGGGGTAGAGATCGGAATGAAGTTTACTACATTTAACCCGTTCTTTACGGATTTAAGGTTCAAAACCTGGCGGGAGGGAGGAATTTTAAGTCATCCCCCACTTCAGCTCCCCTGCCCCCCTAAAAGCTCTGGATGTGGGAGTGTGGTGGAGAGACAGTACTAACCACAAAGTTAGTGAGGTAAAATCTTTTATTGGAGCAACTTCTGTTGATGAAAGAGACAAGCTTTTGAAGAACTCTATAGCTCAAAAGCTTATCTCTTTCACCAACCGAAGTTGCTCCAATAAAAGATTTTACTTCACCCACCTTGTCTCTCTAGTATCCTGGAATTGACACAGCTACACCACCACTGCAGACAGCTCTGAGCACACACATTAGCTCATTGATCCTCAATCCTGTTCCAGTGAAGGCGGCACATAAGCACTGCCCCCATTTTACAGATGAGGAAATGGAGTCCTGAGGGTAAGAGTCTGATTTGTTGGGTGCAGAGCACCTCAAGAAAGCAGATCCGCACATCACTTGGCCAAGGCCAAACAGCAATTCAGAGGCAGGAATGGGAGAAGAACTCTGGAGTTCCCAGCTCCATACAGATGAACTGCAAGCAGCAGTCATTCAAGCTGCCTCACACAGGCTGCTCTGCGAAGGTATCTCGATCTTGACCTGGTGGGGCACCTCTAAGAGTGAAGGGATAGATGGGCCTGCATGACTCATCTAATCCTAGTTCTCTCTTTGGAGGCTGCTAATGATGCACTCAGATACTGCAGGGAAGTAGGCCACATAGGTACCTAGATATAAGGCCATGTACAATTTGGGACAGTTGCATGGTAGGAAGGTCAACTTGTTTTACAACAGCCAACAAAGAGCCATCCATTCATGAGGGCTTTGGTCACTACTGTGCTTTGAACCAGTGACCTAGAAGTCAGAGGAGGTCCCATCCTCTAGTGTCAGCTCTCTGCCCCGCTCAGACTGTCAAGTTTCTGTTCAAATGGTTTTGTTACTTTTAAAGGCAACCAGCATTTTCAAATGCTAGCCCTCACACCCTACGCTAGAAAGAAAACCAAACTAATGGCTGAGGGTGACTGTATCACAAGGTTATTGCAAGCATATCTGTATTTTACAGAGGAGTGACCAAAAGCTTGTCTTAATGGATGGCCCTTCGTTGGTTTACACACAACAAGCTCAAATTCCTACCATCCACCTGTCCCAACATGGCCTATTCAGTACCAACACAGCCCACTTCACTGCAGTGTAGACAGGCTGCTCCCAGCATTTTGAGCATCATATTGATTAGCCATAACACACTGTTAAAAAACCACGTGCAGCAACTGGTGGCCTGTCCACGTTAACTGGTGTTAGCAACACTGGGAGCACTAAACTGAACAGATTACATGTGCATAATGGTCCCTTCTGGCCCTGAAGTCTATGAACCAGTATTAACAAGGATGGGAAGTTTATAAGGAAGAAACTCCTGTAAGATAAAAGGGAAGAACTAAGAAATACGTGTCTGATGAAGTGGGTATTCACCCACGAAAGCTTATGCTCCAATACGTCTGTTAGTCTAGAAGGTGCCACAGGACTCTTTGTTGCTTTTTACAGATCCAGACTAACACAGCTACCCCTCTGATAACTAAGAAATAGTTCCGTAATGTCAGCTCTTGCTATTCTTAGAAAATACAGTCTCGTGGTTACAGTGCTGGAGTCATGAGTTCTGGGCCCCTTTGCTGACACTACACTGACGTGCTGTGTTACCACTGGCTAGTCACTTCCCTTCTCTGTGATTTCCTCTCTTCACCCCTGAAACATACATAGTATCTCCCTGCACATGGGGCCTTTGTGAGAAGTTTGTGAAGAGCTTTGAAATTAATCCTCAAATGAAAGAAGAGAAAGGAGGGCAACGCTAAAGGTCAGGTTCGAAAAGGAGATGTGAAATGCTACCACGCAGACCTTGCTACAACATGCAGTAGCTTTTATAGGGGTACATCTTATCCACCGCAGCACTTAAAGTATTGAACATAATTTTGGCTAAGACTAGGACAGCCTTCAGATCCATTTCAGTGCCTTTTCTGTTCAAGTGTCAGAAAAAACTGAGTTTACAGGTGTCAGGAAATAGCGAGTACTACTGAAAGCCAGAACACACACACACACACACACACGGGCTCTGCAGAAAGCAGAATAGGCTCTTCTCTGCTAGCAGGGGTTTTCCAGGGACTGG